GTCATTGTTGTTTGGCGGGTCCGGGCTGGGGATTCGAACCCGCCGCCTTAGGTGTACGTGGCTGGCGCCTTAGCCAGTTGAGTTATAGGCGCCGAGCCTGTGCTGATGCCTTTAAAGGCATATTGTCAAGGTGCAGGAGTAACATGTCCTAATAATCTCACCTGAGAAGGAAATGAAGGGAAGCAGGAGAAAGAGAAAGAAGTGATTGTCTCTTGGGTAACTGAGTCCAAGATCCAGGGTTGTGCTCACTTTTTCTCCTCAATATCATGTTATGAGACTTTACAAACCTTTACTTCTCTATTTGTAATGTTGCTACCCAATGAGTTTGTTTTAAATACTCTTTCCCCCTTTTCTTTTAATAGTCAAGAGGCTCCAAAACTCCTTTTTTCTACATATGGCAGAGTCTTCTTTCCAGCATCTCTCCATCCAGGCTCCTCATATGCCCTAAAAAATTCTCACTTGAAGTTTCTTTCTTGAAATATGAAAATGTTCCATTTCTCTCTGTTCAAAATGGGAAAATGTGGATGCCCAAGATTTTCATAGTGGATGAGGTTGGGTCATCGGTTATTAACAAAGAAGGGAATATGTAGTGTTTAGCTTCCATCTGGAAGCTCCATCGGTTCTATAGGATGAGGTCCATGCACTTTTACGGAAGATGGCATGAACTGCCTACAGTAATTCAAAGTTCTCAAGAACACAATAATTAGAAAAGACTTGCTTTCTGGGATGATGAAGAAAACTATTTAAAGACAACATTAGAGATTAGAAGACATGCTAGATTTCTGTAACTGGAACTTTGCCCAAACTGGGTTTTTCTCAATTTAGTTTTTTATCAGATTATGATTGACTTTTTTGGCCAGTATTATCACAGCAGGGATGTTGGGCTCGCACTTGTGAATCAGCACCTGATACTAGTTCGTCCTGTTACAGTTGATTTTAATTTTATTCACTCAGTTATGGTGTTCTTGGACACATATTCCATTGTAGGGCTAGTATATCTTCTGCATTCTTAATAAGAACTTAGGGAGATTATCAGTTAATGTGAGCAAACCAAAACATTTATTGAGGAAACACCCCTTTCTTCTTAGATTCTCTTCCATATAACTTTCTTGGTGTATGTAAAGGTTGGAAAGTAAAGGTTGTCATCTTTGTTTATCGGTTCAGAAATCAACTGGGGTAAATTCACTGCCTGCAGTTCACTGCATGTTTAACAGAATATCATCTTGGGACTGAAGCATTGTCATTCCTGTTGAGCTGGTTGGAAATTTAGAAATGGAACCTTCACCTGGTATCATCTGAATAACAATAACAATGTGAATTTTTAAAAGATTTCTAGTTCTTTCTTGTACACATTAAAACTTTTTTTTTTTTTTGAGACAGAGCCTCAAGCTGTCCCCCTGGGTAGAGTGCCATGGCATCACAGCTCACAGCAACCTCCAACTCCTGGGCTCAAGTGAGTCTCCTGCCTCATCCTCCCAAGTAGCTGGGACTACAGACGCCTGGCTATTTTTTGGTTGCAGCCGTCATTGTTTGGCGGGCCTGGGCTGGATTCGAACCCGCCACCTTAGGTGCATGTGGCTGGTGCCTTAGCCGCTTGAGCCACAGGCAACGAGCCGTACACATTAAAACTTTAGAGTTACCATTTTTTATTTATTTTTATGTATGTTTATTTTTTTAGGTACAGTCTTTATCACCTTCAGTAGAGTGAGTGCTGTGGCATGAGCTCACAGCAGCCTCCAGTTCCTGGGCTTAGGTGATTCTCTTGCTTCAGCCTCTTGAGTAGCTGGGACTACAGACACCTGTCACAACACCTGGCCTTTTTTGCTGCAATTTGGCAAGAGCCAGGTTCAAACTCACCAACCTTGATATATGGGGATGGTGCCCTACCCACTGAACCATAGGCACCGCCCTAAAGTTACCACTTATCTCACCATGACATTGTTATATAGAAAACATACATGGATTATAACGTATGATGTAAATAAGGCACAAAATTCTACATGCTGGTATTGGTGGTCTTTTATTTCCACTGTGTTAACCAAAAATGTACAATCTGTCTCTGGTTTTGTGGTTGCCATTTCATCCCCTGTCTTCAGTGTTAGGTAACACATGAGGGAATATAGCTCTTCTGTAGTTGTTAGGTAATTGCACTCACTTATATGAGTGAGCAAGAGTTCTCTCCACTAATTAAAAGTGAAATTCAGTCTCCTCATGACTTCTTGACAAATATGTTTGTTTTTCAGGGAGTGTTGACATTCGAGGACGTGTCTATAGAATTCTCTATGGATGAGTGGGCCTGCCTGGACCCTGCTCAGCAGCATTTGTATCGGGAAGTCATGTTAGAGACCTACAGAAACCTGCTCTTTCTGGGTGAGGATAACTTAAATATACAGTTCAGGGCTCTACTAACCAATTTGCATTCTGTCTCTGTAGAAGGCTTTTTTATGGAGACAGAGTCTCAAGCTGTCACCTTGGGTAAAGTGCTGTGGCATCACAGCTCACAGCAACCTCAAACTCTTAGGCTTAAGTGAATCTCTTGCCTCAGCCTTCTAAGTAGCTGGGACTACAGGAACCCACCACAATGCTCCTCTATTTATTTATTTATGTATTTGGTTGTAATTGTCATCATTGTTGTTTGGCAGGCCCAGGTGGGATTCGAACCCACCAGCTCCTGTGTATGTGGCTGGCGCCCCAGCCACTTGAGCTACAGGCACTGAGCCTGTAGAAGGTTTTTACTTACTCAGTTTCTTTTTTTTTTTTTGAGACAGAGCCTCAAGCTGTCCCCCTGGGTAGAGTGCCGTGGCATTACAGCTCACAGCAACCTCCAACTCCTGGGCTCAAGCGAGTCTCTTGCCTCCGCCTCCCAAGTAGCTGGGACCACAGGTGCCCGCCACAAGGCCCAGCTATTTTTTTGGTTGCAGCTGTCGTTGTTTGGCGGGTCCGGGCTGGGGATTCGAACCCGCCACCTTAGGTGTACGTGGCTGGCGCCTTAGCCGGTTGAGCTATAGGCGCCAAGCCCTTACTCAGTTTCTTATGTGACTGCATGAGTGTCAGGTTCTTGTTTCTAGGGAAAACTTGAGGCTATCTTGGTATAGAAAAGAAAATGTTGGAGTTGTTTTATTTTAGCATTAATCTTAACCCTTTTTTGAGGTGATTTATATCCTTCACTAGATTAATGGAAATTTCAGAAATTTCATGGCCTAGATTATTACTCATATTTTTGACTGATTTCTAGTACCAAATTTTATGTTAGTTTTTGGTAGTGAAGGAGTTAGGAATTTTCCAACTTTAATACTTTTTAAAGATTCTGAGGTTTCCTCAAGGAACATCTATGTGGGGTTATTATTTCAGGATTTTCTAAAATGTTCTTTTCTCTCTTTCAGCAAGGTACTACATTGCCAATTGAAGAATCTCAATTTTTTTTCTAATAAAACAGGACTTGCTGTCTCTAAGCCAGACCTCATCACCTGTCTGGAGCAAAGCAAAGAACCCTGGAAGGTGAAGACACAGCAGACACTACTCAAGCCCCCAGGTAGGTTGGAGTGAGTGAAGCAGGTAACACTGGTCAGAGGTCCAAGTTCTGGGGGGAAACCACACAATACAGGGTGATTAGGGAAGCTCAGCTTAATCAGAAATGATTTCTGAGAAGCCTGGGTTTCTTTCTCTTGTTCTTACATCAAGGCATCTGTCTTCTTGTTTTTATTATTTTTTAATTTTTATTTTCTTATTGATACAGAGTCTCACTCTCTTGCCTCACACTAGAGTGCCATGACATCAGCCTAGCTCAGAGCAACCTTAAACTACTGGTGTCAAGTGATTTTTCTATCTCAGCCCCCCAAATAGCCAGGAATGCAGGTTTCTCCACATTGCCTGGCTAATGTTCTTTTTATTTTTTTGGTACAGAGGGAGTTCTCAGACTTACTCAGGCTAGTCTCAAACTTGGGAGCTGAAGCAATCCTCCCTCCTTGGCTCACAGAGTGCTAGGCATGTAGTTGTGAGCCACTATTCCATATAACCACTATATAGTTGTGGGCCTGTTCTTGGTTTTAATTTCTAGAAGGACTTTACTATTCACGGATATTCCTTCTAGGTTACAGTCAGAATGAAAGAACTTTCTATGGCTTACATGTGAGTGCAGGATGTGACTGTGAGGACATGAAATATGTGTATATTATTTAGTATACCTGTGAATTTTTTAAAATATTCTTTAGACTGGCTATGGTGGCTCACACCTCTAATCCTAGCTGTCTGGGACTCAAGGTGGGACTATCGCTTTAGCTCAGGAGTGTGAAACCAACCGAAACAAGAGTGAGACCCTATCTCTGCTAAAAATAGAAAATTATCCAGGCATAAGAGTAGTTGCATGTTGTCCTACCTACTGGGGGCTGGTGGGGATGAGGCTGGAGAATTGCTTGAACCCAGGAGTTTGAGGTTGCTGTGAGTTAGGCTGATTTTATGACACTGTAGCCTAAAAAACAGAATGAGACTGTGTCTGAGCACAGGCTTTTTTTTTTTTTTCTATTTTTTGTTTTTTTGAGACAGTCTCAAGCTATCTCCCTAGGTAGAGTGCTGTGGCGTTACAGCCACCTCAAAGACTTGGGCTTAAGCAATTCTCTTGCCTCAGCCTCCCGAGTAGCTGGGACTACAGGTGCCCATGACAACACCTGACTATTTTGTTTGTTGCAGTTGTCATTGTTGTTTTAGCTGGCCCAGGCTGTGTTCAAACTTGCCAGCCTCAGCGTCTATGGCCAGTGCCCTACCCACTGAGCTACAGGTACCACCAAAGTTTCTTTTTCTTTAGCATCATATCCAAAATATGGGAGTGAGGTGGTGATATTATTATTTGATTCAGAAATCCCAGGAACACTGCAAATAGTTAAGTTTTATGATTTATACTTTTTTATGCTATGAAGGTTTCAAATAAGATTCTGAAGAATTTAGTCATTTTATCAGAACTCTAAGAATCTCCCCAAATAGAAGAAAATCTAATGTTCTTTAGCCTCAAAATTCTGTTTTTATATGGACTTTGATAAATAATTTAATTTATATATGTAGTAATTTGCCAACCGTGTTTTTTTTGTTTTTTTTTTGAGACAGAGTCACAAGCTGTCACCCTTGGTAGAGTGCCATGGCTCTCAGCAGCCTCCACCTTGGGCTCAAGTGATGGACGTTCCTTAGTTTTTCTATTTTTAGTAGAGATGGAGTTTCGCTTTTGCTGAGGCTGGTCTCAAAATTGTCAGTTCAAGCAATCTACCCACCTTGGCCTCCCACAGTGCTACAATTATAGGCCTCAGTCACATCGCCTGGCTTATGTTAACCTTAATATATTTAAAAAGGATCTTCCTACAATTCATTTTTTTGGGTTTTCTTTTTGAGACAAAGTCATGTGTCATGGCATTATAGCTCCCAATCTTAAACACTTGGGCTCAAGGGGTCCCCTTGGCTCAGCCTCCTGAGTAGCTGAGAACAGTTGCCCTCCACTACATTTGGCTAGTTTTGCAATTTTTAGTAGAGTTGATGTCTCCCTCTTGCTCAGGCTGGTCTTGAACTCCTGAGCTCAAGCATTGTATTTGCCTTGGCCTCTCCGAGGGTTAGGATTAGAGGTATTTTCCCCACATCCAGCAGCTACGTTTCTTAACTATATTGTGTCATTTGGTAGTTTAGATTATTCCTGAGGATACATTAGTGTCTCTGTTGTTACAATATAATTCTCACGGCTCGGC